GAAAAAATAAAATAGTGAAAAAAACAACAAACCTTCAAATACAAGTAAACTAAAGTTTACCGGGTGAGCGGCAGTCGCCGCTGTTGCCATACGCGGCTCATTTTCTGCAAACTTCATGCATCCATATCTCCGTAAGTATTGATGGTAAATTTTTTTTGTTTATCCTATAATGTTTAGAAAAAAAAACTCTATTTTTTCATAAAAAAAATAATTTTTTTTTTTTTGAAATTTGGCCGACCCTGAGAACGAGTTTCAGAGAGGGCCTGTCGACCCTCAAAGGGTTAAACACATGTGAGGCGGCTGGAGAACGGGCTAGACTCTCCTTTCCAATACTGATTAAACAACTTTCAGATGGAAGACCATCAACTGAAGCATTAGCTCTGGCTCGAACAGCGGTAAACCAACCTTCTAGGTTGTCTGGGTTACCGTTGAACAATGGCATAGCATCATACGGATCACGACTGAAATTACGCAGGCTAGAAGTCTGAGTGTATCTATTATTTGATACAGGATTACTCGAATTGTGAACTGATGCATCAATGGTTGTACTAGCAGCATGTGCTGAGGCATCGCTTGAGAAGACTTGAGACATATTTGCAAAATGTAAAACAAGAATTTAGAGAAACAAAAGAAAACGTAACTGAGGAACACACAACACAGTGAACTTAAATGGGAAGAAAATGCTTAACTATTCTGCATAAGTAAATAAAAATTGACAGGTCACACTTTAAGCAAAGAAACTCACACAAGAAAATACTCAATTGAATAAACAACACTTTGAAAATCAAGAGAACTTGTACTATACTCAAATCTAATTTGCTCAAATTTTACTTTAAATTGAATGAATGGCACAGTGAGTTGTCTTTACTTTCAATGCAACAGAGAAATTCAACAATAAAATGATAAAATGGACTCAATAAAGCTTGTGCAAAATAAAACAAACTGGGACACAATTCACTGAAATAAAATAAAATGGCACAGAAAGAATAAAATATTATGCACAGAACAGAGCATAATAAACTGCACTGAAATAAACTGTAGCAATACTGCAAATAACAATTGCTAATCAAAAAGTATTGCACAACACTACACAAAATTTCTGCAAGAAAAATTTTAATGACAACACAATGTTTGCACAAGAATTATTGCAAAATGAGTGAATGTGCAATAATAAAAAAAAAATATTACACACACAAGAAAACACTGTTTACAAGAAAAGAAAATATTATTATCAAGGAATGAACTGAGGGAACACTTTAACTCTTAACTGCAGCTTAAGTAACACTTAACAAGCAAAAGAGCAATTTACTTTAAAAGAAGAACTTAAAAATTGCACTAAGAGTGAATTTGTTCAATGAAATATGAAAAAATAATAGATACAAAACACAGAACAAAAAAGGCTTGAACACTTACAGTGATGCAGAACACAACACATCAACATAAACACAATACTAGAATTTTCTTGCTATGAAACTTGATGTGTGAAAACTTTGAAAAATAGTTTCTTGCTTGCACAAAATAATGGCACTATTGTCTGTGGAAATAAGACAAATTAGACACTGGCTACATGAAAAGAATATGAATACAAAAATGTTCAACACACACAGAACAAAACAAGAATACACAAATGCTGGGATAAAAATATAACAGACAACACTGAGTTGTGATGCAGAATACAAGGTAATAAATTACTGAATTACCTCACTGGAATACTGAGAACACTAGGTGATTGTGAAGTGTAACACAAGTTTTATACTGCTTATATGTTGCACACACAACAAAGGAAAAACACTAGGTACTTACTTCAAGTGTATAAAAAAAAGAAACACAACACAGCAGACATAAAATAATAGCACGAAAATTAACACTGAATTGAGAAGATAAAAAAATTATTGCAAACAGTATGTAATAAACACTGAGTCTAATCAAGAGTCACTGAATGTCACTAAGAAAAATCACTGGAACACAAAAGAAATGTTTCAACACTCGCAAATGTCTCTATGAAAAATATTATCGCTGTAATGACTTGATGAAGAATGAGGTGGAAGGGTGGTGGATGCTATCGTCTTGTGGCTGGCTACTGTCCTCACGTGATCGTAGAATTGCACTTAAATCGATGATGAACTCACACAGGAGGCTTTCAACGGTGGCACCAAACACACTCTAGCTCTTGACCCCCTATGTTGTCCTTAAAATATGGTGCTGTAACCCATAGTAGTGTACCAAAACAATGGTAGAGGTTGGGTGAGTGGGTGAATGGCTGAGTGAGGCGTCTGAGGCAGCGGTGTCGAGTGGGTGGGTGGGTGGGCTGAAACAGGGCTAAGGCCGAGACCGCGTGGTGAGTGAGTGGGCCTATGGGATGAACGGCGTAAGCCTCACTGGGGACACCCACACTGGCATGAAGATATTCTAAGCCGGCTGGCTTAAAAACAAACCCACGAATTACCACAACACCGCAGGGATGAAAAGAGCACTCAGAATGGCTTAAAGCTTGAAACACAAGCGATGAAGACTGTACTCACATGGCTTGCTTGAGTACTGGGGTAAGACACCTGGGTTAGTTGCTTGCTGGCTTATCTTAACCCTTCACACAGAATAGCCTGATACTTCTAATGATGAGCACAGCAGGGGTGGAAAGCTGGCTTGGCAGGCAAAAGCTGGATGGAGTAGGCTAGGCTGGACTGACTGGGTTGTTCTGACTCCCCACCACTGACTGGTTGCTGGCTTACTTTGCAAACTTGGGTCAACCCCTCGGGAGTGATGCAAATAAGCAGATAAACACTAATACAAAGAGACTGACCAGTGAATAATGTAGTGGCTGGTAGAAGCTTGGTTGAGGTAGCTGGCTTGAGGTAGGTCGGCCTAGCGTCAGGAGATGGCGACCGGCCCAGTAGAAATTTATCTCCAGAAGTCACTGTAATCATCAGAATTACAGGCCCTCTGCTGCCACCAATTGTCGTGGGAGTTCTTAAAAGGAGATTTGAGGGTTGAAGGTAGACACACTAGTTGGATGGTAACGATATATATTGTCAGACTGTGATGGGAGATGAAGCCCAGCCTGCCATGTCAATGCCTGGATGTCTATCTGCCGACTGAGAGGGAGGCAGAGGTACGAACGTACACATGCGCATCCCGTGACATCACACAAACAGTCACTCAGCCTAAAAGGGATCTTCTATATAAAGCACATGGATGATACTATGATACGCTATACAACACATATAAGGGGGATCAGCAACTATGCTGACATAATCCGTTCTTGACACCCAGAAGTATTAAAACAAAAAAAATTTTTTACATGAAATATAGATGTAGTACATAAAAAAAAAGGGGGGAACAGGATGAATGAAACTTAACACCCAAAAACACTTACCTTTGTTGGCGATTCTTCTTAGTGTATGGAAACTGGAGGAGGAAGGAAGGGAAATTATTTTTGGGGAAAGGGGAAATTTCCCCTTCAAAAAAAATTTGGCCCTTGTGACCCTGCCTTTTTATTGATCTCCAAACACACACATTTTTATCTTCAAAAACTTTTTTTTTTTTCCTGAAACTCGGGGTTTTTTTTTCCCCAAAGGGTTTACACTATAACGGCTTCACTTTGAAATCCCCACTACTTAGCACAGAATTTAAAGCGTCACCGTTTTTCTTTGGTTGGGGCCCTGGCGGTGCCTTTTTTTTCCTGAGAAATTTAGGTCCCCCTTTGGCATTTTTTTCCAAAAGGCCTTTTTTGTCAAAAATTGAACACTTGTTCGGGTTTCAGCCCCTTTTCCCCCTCAAATGTACTCCTTAAATTTCCCTGCACATATTTTTCGGGCCCACTTTTTGGTCGGAAATGGCAGCCTCCCCGGGCCTTAAACACACTTTTATCCCAATACGCTTTTTTAAAATCTCTAAAATTCATTTTTTGCTGGGCTTCAATTCCCTCACATCACCACTAGTTGCGGGGCAATTTTTTTACCAAATTGTCCATGCAACTGCCAAAGCCTTTTCACAAATACCCGCCCGTCAAAAGACTTTTCCCCTCCCAAAATTGTTTTCTTTTTTTTATCCACACCAATAAAAATTCTAACATCTTCGATTTCGGGTGATCTCTTTTTTTGTCGCATTTTTCCCCCCTTTTTGCAAAAAGAGCTGCCTTGTTTTCCTTTTTTTTGGGTATGAGGGAAAGATAGGGTTGTACGGGTTTTGTTATACACCCCTGGCCAGTTCCCCCCAAAAAGGGATGCCACTTTCTTTTGTTAAATGATGTTTTTTTTTAAATTCAACGTATTTTCACCTTTTTTAAACCAAAGGCTTGGAACTGGGGAGTTTCTTTGGAGCCATGGAGCTTATTTAGCACTTGAAAGCACTAAAATAAAGGGAATATTATGAAATATTTTGTATGAACACGTGGGGGGCCCGTCGCTCACGGTAAACAAGGGCACCTGGCGGGAAGGGAGGCGAGGTGGCTCAGAGCCGGGGAGTAGGGCTCCAGGACGAAGGACGATTAGCGATTTAAAAACAGACTATTTCCCGAGCCAATTTTTTAGACAAAAAAGTAAACGTTTTCGAAAGGACGTTTTTCGGGCCCGGGAAAAATTGTTGGGGGACCACTTTTATTGTAAAGATCTTAATCTTCAGAACCCCCCAATAATTGCCCTAACCTTAACCATTTTTCTTTTTTCCCCAATTTAAACCTTCTTTTACTTTCTTTTGCTATTGCACTCATAACTTGCTAATGGCCTGTTTTGGGGTTTCCTAAAAAATTCCATTTCCTTTCTGATTCTTTGGGTTTTCCGAATTTTTTTTTAAAGCCCATTTAAAAGCTCTTATTTTTTAAATTACATCGAGAAAAATTTTCCCACAAAATTCTAGCATAATTTTGGGTCATTCAGTAAAGTTGAATTATACCCCACTACTTTTTGCCTCATTGTTTTTTAATTCTACACACATTGGGTTTGGGGAAGATGTCCCCGGAAACATCAAAATTTTCATTTTTTTGGGCTTTGGGGTGACGAAAGGACATTTCCCGTTGGCTATTCCCTTAGAGAGTGGCAGGTAATGCTGAAAAAAATTTTAAATATTTTGCTATATTTTCAGTTTTGTAGAAAAAAATTTTATAATTTATTTTTTTTTAAAAACTTTTTTTTTTTTTTTTTTTAAAAAAGTCCCCCGTCCCCCCACCGAGGCAGGGTGCCCCAAAAAAGAAAAAAAATCCCCAAAAAGAAAATATTTTTAATCTTCATTAAACACTTTCACCTCACCCACAAAAATCACTGTTTTTTGCAAAGTGCTCAAAACAAAAAAGGGGGAACCCCCAAAATTTTTCCCTTTTTAAATGCACACAGATACTAATAACAATTTTAACTAACATATTTTAATTTAGAAATAGAACTAAGCATTAAAAAACAAAAAAAAATTAAAATTACCCCCCTTAGTGCACCCCATTACTTCCTTAAATTTTTATATTTTTAAATCAAAGGGGGGAGATGAAAAAATTTTTTATTGAAAAGAAACCCGTGTGGTATGTTTGGTAGTCAGCCGGGGCTACCAAAACAGGCCACCCCACCTACACTTTTAATATTCTAAAACATTTAAGCACCCCAAAAGGCGATAAAAGGCCCAAAACAGTTTACTCATTACTTCCCTTTAAAAATTTTTATAGTCTTAATCTAGGGTGGGAAAGTACTATTTTTTGGAAAGGGAAATCAAGTGTGGTATGTAGGGTATCGGGCCGGGGCTCCCCATACCGGGCCCCCCTTTCCCACCTACACATAAAAATTCTTTTAAATTTTTTAAAACCCACCCCTGAGCGATAAAATGAATGACTTTTCCCACTCATTATTTCCCTTTAAAAATTTAAATTGTAGTTTTTAATGTAGGGTCAGGATGAGTAAACGAAAATAAAATGAATAAATGGGGAAGGAGAGAGGGGGAGAGAGGAGAGAGTCAGAGAAAAGAGAGTCAGAAGAGGAGCGAGGAGAGAGTAAAGAGAGAGAGAGTCAGAGAGAGAAAAGAGCCCGAGAGAGAGAGAGTCAAGAGAGAGAAGTCAGAGAGGGAGACTCAGAGAGAGAGAGTCAGAGAGAGGAGTCAAAGAGGGGACTCAGAGAGAGAGAGAGCCCAGAGGGGAGAGAGTAAAGAGAGAGGCCCAGAGAGAGAGAGAGAGAGAGAGGGGCCCAGAGGGGGGGGAAGAGAGAGAGAGAGAGTCGTACATGGGGGAGGACGGGCGCAGAGTTATGTAAAAAAAACCAGGGGGAATTTAATTTTTTGTAAACAGTGTACATGTTGGTTTTTTTGTACAAGTTGTCTTACTTTGAAAAATGGGGAGAATAATAAAGGAACTCTCCCATTCTCTGAAACACCTTTTTTAGAAAAAAATGGCGCCTGAGTAAAGGCAATGGAATTTAATTTCCGGTTTTAACATTTTTGGGTTATCCTAGGGTTTTAAACCAAAAGGTTTTAAGTATGTTTAATCTTGAAACTGTATTTGGGTAAACCTGAATAAACTTACATCCCTACAAAGGAAAAAATTTTCTACAGTTCCCACAGTAACACATTTTCCCCTTATGTTAGATTAGAGAAAAGGGTTTTTTTTTTCTTGCCGTATTTTTGGGGTCAATTTATCTGGCTAGGGACATCGCTTTTTATTTTTTATTTATTTTTAATTTTGGGGGTTTTTTTTAACATCTTTATATGTTATGTATTTTGTTTATTATAAAATTTGAAAAAAGTATCTGGATGGATTAATAAAAATTTGTATTTTAACGTAATTATTTTTTAATGGACTCGGTGATTATTATTATTATTATTATTATTTCTAATATGGCTTTTATTTGCGAAAGTCGTCTGCTACCCCCCTTTTTTCTCATATTTCTTTTTTTTCAAAAACCCCGGGCCCGTATCCCACCGAGGCGGGGGGGCCCCAAAAGGGGAAAAACAAAAGGTTTTCCTTTAAAATTTTTAGTAATTTTATACGGAGAAGGGGTTACTACCCCTTTTGCCCCCCGGGCATTTTGGGTCGCCTCTTAAAACCGCATGGCTTACGGAGGGGGAATTTCCCCGTTCCATTTTCCCCATGGATATAAGGGGGAAATAAAAAAGAACAAAAACTAGAAAAAAAATAGAAAAAAACCCCCAGGGGGTTTTATATATTGCTTGTACATGTATGTGTAGTGTGACCTAAGGGGAAGGGAGAAGAAAAAGGACGTCCTGAAATTTTGCATGTTCATGAGCAAAAAAAAAAGGACACCAGCAATCCACCATCGGGTTAAAAAAATTTAAGGGCTTTCTTTTTACACTCATTTGGGCAGGATGGTAGTCCCCCCTGGGGGGTTTTGCTGTCAAACCAAACCCTTTCCCTGGGATATCTCAATTTATGTTTTTTATTCTATTTGTGGGTGTTTTTATCATTTTTATATTTTTATGCATCAGGTTTATTTAAAATTTTTGAAAAAAATATCATAGATGGATTAAGAAAATATGTGGGTAGTGGGTTTGGTAGATAGAAACCACCGAGGGGGGGATTTACTGTCTCCCAAGTGGGGGTTAAAACAAAAAGCCTTTTAATTTTTTTGGGCATGATGGTAGAATGTGGGTCTTTTTTTTCTGTCTATAAAATGAAGATTACAGGTATGTTTGCAAACTTCTACAAACATTAGGTCACACTACACATACATGTCCCCAAGTTTGTTTATCCCACACTAAATTGATTTTTTTCTTTGTTTTTACTTTTTTAGTTCTTGGTCTTATTACTTTTCTTTTTTTATCCAGGGGGAAAGGGGAATTTAAGAATTTTTCCCCTCTGAAAACCCATGCGGGTTTGAAATCAATTTAAAATCCGGGAAAAAAGGGGCTAGTAAAAAATTTTTCCCTGTAAAGATTACTAAAAAAGAAAAGAAGAAAAAAATTGGGTAAAAAAGGGGGACATCTAAATGTGCGGGGTTTTTGTGCAAATGATAGAAAGAGATGATTGGGGATTTTACAACTGAGAAAAGGGGTCCTGGTTTTAATTTGAAAAAAAAAGTAAAGGGGGGTGGGAGAGTTTCAGGGGAGGGAAAAAAGGGGATTAGGTCAGGGGTTTCAAATAGGGTTAGGGGCTAAAAAAGAATTTAGCAATAGTTTAAAGGATAAGATAGGCGGGGAAAAGCTCAGTAGCTACGTTAGAGTAAACATAGAGGGGAAAAAAGGGGAAGGTGGAAAACCGAATGGGAGGGGGGGAAAGTGTATAAACTAAGGGGGGAGGAATTTTCGGGTGAATAAAAAACCCGACTTTGGCAAAAAGAGGGGTTTAGTGCAAAGATGATAGGGGGGGGGGAAGGTTGAAGAGGTTGGATTTTTTTAAAAATGCAGTAGAAAGAATGTGGGGCAAAAGTTTGGGGTTATAGGAGGGTGGGGGCAGGGGGAAAGAGGAGGGTTTGGGGGGAAAAGATGAAGTGAAAAGGGTGTGAAAAAGAAAAAGTTACTTTGAGAGATTTTTAAAAAGAAGGGTTAAAAAGGGAAGAGCAAGTATATGGAAAAGAAAAAAGAAAGGGGGAAGAGGGGGGTGAAGGGGCAAAAGGAGAGCGTTGATAGAGGGGAAGAGGCACGTAAAAGAAATTTTAAGAAAGTAAAAAATTTTTTGGAGTAAATTTAAACAATTTTTAAGGAAAGCCTGGGGAATTTTGGATTTGTCATTAAAAACAGAAAAGGGGGGTTAGTAAGGGGGAGAGGGAGGTATTAGGTAGTTTGGCGAGAAAATTTTGGGGAAACTTTTAAATTTTGGGGGAAAAAAAGAAAGAGAGGGTAAATTTCTTTGCACGGGCCCCAGGGGGTATCCATCTTTTGGGAGTGAAAAAGCCCGAATTTTAATGGGGGGGGAGGTCCCGCGAGGCTTTCGTAGAATAAAAGGGGGAAAAGCAGCGGGAAACTGAGGGGATTGACGAAAGGGTTAAAAGCAGGGGGATATAGTGTTGGAGGGGTTGGGGATTTTTTGTTTAAAAAAAAGTATGAAAGGGGGGAATACCTGGGGTTTGGGGGAGACAGGGTTACCCCCTTTATAAAAAGGGGAAAGGGGGAAAAAGGGTTTTGAAAAAATTTATAGGGAAAAGTTTATTGAAAAACCCCGGGAAAAAGTCCCACGGTAGGATTTTTAATTAAAAGGGGAAATAAAGGAAAGGGAAAAGAATGTTTTGCAATGAAAAGGAAAGGTTTCAGAGGGGGTGGGGGATGTGTAGATAAATTTTTACATTAAAGCATAAAGGAACATATTTGGGAAAAAAGGTAAAAGTTTTTATTGCATTTAGGGTTTTTAGAAAGGATTTGATAAGGGATGGGGGAGCTTTTGGGGCAGATTTTTGCAATTTATAAAAATAGGTGGTAAGTTACTAAATGCGGGAAAAGGGTTTTTTAAAGGGGATAGTGGGCTCAGGTTGGGTGTGTAAAGGGGGGGAACATTTCCCCGGGTAAAAGTAGGTCTTAGACAGGGATTGTAAGTCCCCATGGTTTTTTAATTAATTTATAGAGGGGGTTGTAAAAGAATAAATCGGGGGTGTTGGGGAAGAGGGGGGGAAATTAAATTATGGGGAGTAAAAAAAATTCAAATGGGAATTGACACATTTACTTTTTGTGATGATACTTGCTTAGGGGAAGTTTCTAAAAAAAAAATTTGAAAAGGTTAGTGGATGGGGTTTGGGGGAATGTGGAAAAGGAAAAATTGAAAGTGAACATAGAAAAGAGTAATGATGAGGGTGTCAAGGTTTTAAATAAAGAAAATTGGATAAAAATTTGGGGAAGGGGGATTTATGGAAAATGAATGTTTTCAGATATTTGGGATTTTGACGTGTGGGCGGATTTTTTTTATAAAGGGATGATTAAATCATAAATTGAGGGGAAAAAAAGGTGAGTGGTCTTGGGGTATTTTGGGGAGTCAAAAAAACGTTATCTATGGGGGCAAAAAAGGGAATGTAAAAGGGATAGTATTCCCAACCCCCTCTTTATGGGGGGTGAAGCTTGGGGGGGTAAATGCCAGCGAGGGACGGTTGGAACAGTGGAGTGTCCCCCTAAGGGAAAAGTGTGTAAAT